TGTAAGTCAATAACGTATGTATATGAATGTGAATGTGAATATGATTGGTAATATGTAATTACATATCTATATGTATGCATATGTATGTATATGTATATGATAAACACAAAAATCTGATGATTACTATAGATAATAAAAGAAGATAACAAAATTCTACCACATTCGAGAAGGCAACTCTCCAGGACATATACTTGATTATCATAAACTAAACAACCAAAATATAACTGTTGTTTCTAATTAATAGTCTCATGTATGCAGGAGATGACTATTCATGCTTTTTCTTTATTTAGCCATTAACTTGTGTGAGTGGGTCCAAAGTTGGGCCCAACAACATCCTTAGAAGCTATAATGATCCTTCTTGGGCTTGATTAGCCTTCTTTTTCTGTCGGTGAGAATACACATTTAGTGGTGTCGTAACATTACTCTCCCCTCGGAAAAACTACTTGTCCTTGAGTCGAAATAACGGGAACTGAGAAGTGAGTGAATCATAACTCTCCCATGTAGCTTCTTCGAAAGGTTGATATTTCCATGAAACTAGGAGTTCCAAAATAAGTTTACCAGCTTCAATGACCCAACAGTGATCCATGACTTTATCAGGTTCAACATCAAATAACCAATCACGAGTGATAGGAAGAGGTGTTGACGAACTAAATGATGAGTAACCTCTGGCTGATTTGAGCATTGAAACATGGAAGATGAGGTGAATGCGAGAAGTAGGAGGAAGCTCAAGTTCATAGGAAACTAGTCCAATTTTTCGTATAACTCGATAAGGTCCAAAGAACTGGGGAGAAAGCTTCTCGTACAGTCGTTTCGCCAAGCTTTGATTTCGATACAGTTGGACCTTTATAAGTCCTAAAGCTCTTGGGTTGGGTAACATGCATAGGAACCATAAAGTTAGCAACTTTATGAATCATTGAGGCCTTTTAATTAGCATATGTCTTAAATTTGAGGATTTGTGGTGGTTTGGACCAAGCATGAATTTTGCCCTTATTTACCTTTATTTTGACTTAGAATTGGTATATGACATGCATGGAGCATGGTCGAGTTGTGTGGATGTATGTGTATGTATATACATATGTGTGTATGTGTATGCGTGAATGTGTGAATTTATGTGTGTGAATGTATGTGTATGTGTGTATGTATGTATATGTGAATGTGTGAATATATGTGTATGTATGTCTATATGTGTGTATTTGTCTATAGGTATGTGTGAATGTATGCGTGTGTATATGTATGTATGAGAATTTGTATGTATGTATATGTGTGTATGTGAATGTTGTGTATGTGTATGTGTGTATGTGTTTATGTGTGAATGTATGTGAAAGGAGTAACAATGCAAAAGGAGTAATAGATCGAAAGGTGCACACGGTTATACACACATAGATATCATGTATAACTTAGTGAGCATATATATAATCATGTATAATAGAGGTGCGAAAAAAAAAATCGAAAAAAAAAACGACAATTGGTGTCCGAAATGTCGAAAATAATGAAAATTTGTAGGTAATCCGTCGGAAATTACTGACGAAAGGCCACTAAATTTAAACGGATTACCTAGGTAATTTAACTATTTTCGACATTTCGGGCACCGAACGTCGTTTTTTTGCTTTGTTTTTTCGCACCTATATTATACATGATTATCTATATTTTTCCAAAGTTATACCTGATACCTACATGTTTATAATGGCGTGCTCATTTTGATCTGTTACTCCTTTCACACTTTAACATTACAATCAAATTGGCATATGTACATATACATACATACACATACACATTTACACATACATTCACATATACCCGTAGACATACATTCATACACACACACATTCATACATACACAAACATTCGTATACACATGTATACATATATACACATACATTCACACATACACACGTACACATATATACATATATACACATACATTCTCACATACACACGTACACATTCACATATACACAATACACAGATATTCACATATACATATACATTCACACATACACATAGACACATACCCAAATATATACATAGATACACATACACAAATACACATACATTACACATACACACATATATATACATACATACATACATATACATTACAAATACAAAATACACATAGATTTACATACATACATACCCATAGACACCTACACACATATACATACGCATACACATACACATATACATACACATACACCTACACACATAAATACACATGTAGACATATAATATTGTGTGTATATATATATATATATATATATATATATATATGCGTACGCAGTGGAGAGTCTAACATAGAAAATCACATGGTTCGCTAACAAGGTTAAACCGGGACGGTTCAAGTGAAAAATATGTTCAACAGGGCTATTTCACAGCATTTAAGGCAGGTCATTCAAAATATTTAAGATAGGTTCTGAATTTATCTTATATATAACTTGTTGGAAATTTTTTATTTTTAGGTGGGTCAAATGACCCACCTTTAAACAAAGTAGCATCGCCACTATGTGTATGTTTATACAACTAAGGCCCATAGAGGAGAAAATGAAGAAATCACCATTTTTGTCTGCGACCCCATGTTCTATGCATAAATTTCAGGTGTGGGAAAATGATTCCTCATTTAGACATGCAATGACGACATCTATTATTGGACATGCAATTATGTAGCTTTTGCCTATGGAATAATAATAATAATAATAATAATAATAATAATAATAATAATAATAATAATAATGAATAAATAATAATAATAATAATAATAATAATAATAATAATAATAAACTTTTTGGGTAGTGCTTGGGGTAAGACCAACAATCGAGATGGTCCAACTCTTTGGGGGTAAGGATTCCACTATCCTAGATTAACTTCACCGAAGGCGGCTTATAGGAATCTCAAAATCTTCCGATGGACCGCCACTCGGTCTCCTCGATCCTTTTGAGGGGATACCCATCTCGAGGCTGAGTCAAGTATTGATTCTCATCCTATTGTTGATTTTGGCCATTCCCTTTTGTTGAATTCATTAAAGAGTGGAAAGAAGGGGTCATAACTGAGTGCTTAGGTAAGAAACCTCCTAAGTCCTTATCGAACCAGAACATGAAGGTTAACGTATTAAAGAACAAGAAATATGGATCTCTTTGTGATATCATAGAAGTAGGTGATTCCAAAATTGAGAAGATTGCCTCGTTGGAGATAGTGATGAAGCTTTCTGATGATCTCTCTAGCCTTCCTCGAGATATTTGTTCCTTCTGTTTATATCAATGTTGAGAAAACTACCACCAGAAATATTGTACTCATCAATTGTCCCATGCACTTCGACCCTATTTTAGTTGTTAAATGTAACTTGATTCTAATGGAGCATTTGAGTTCAATGGATCACCTAGAACTCATTGGAGCACTTGGGGTTCAGGGAGCATGTAACAAAAGAATCAATCATATGAGAATGGAATGAAACATCTGATAAAGGAACTAATCAAGTATCAAAGTAACGAATTGTCTAAAAGGGGGTATGGAGCATTTGGAAGAGGTTTGGAGCACTTGGGAGTGGAATAAAGCAACTTGATGCATTGTTGCGCCATTTGATTAAGTGTTAGGCCAAGTGGAAAGCATGTTGCATCATTATGCAAGCATGTTGCACCATTGACATACATGTTGCGCCAAGTGGAAAGCATGTTGCATCACTTTGGTAGATGTTGTTCCAAAATGGAAGAAGTTGTGCTAACTTGGAAGATCGTGCTCCACCTTGGAAGGAATTTGCACCACTTTAAAGGAAGCTGCACCATGCTTGAAGGATATTGCACCATCACTGCACAAGATGGACCATTATTATGCAAGATGCGCCATCTTGGTGAAAGATGCACCATTTTGGTTCCTTGATGAGCAATGGCATCCTTGGTGAGCTACGTATACTATGAAGTCCTCGTTGATGATCAAGATTGTTCAATGATACTTAGAAGTTGATGATGCTCAAGGAATACACCACGTTGTGCTACCATTATGGATGTTGGACCACTAGTGTTCATGATGCGCCACCTGTGCATCATGATGCTCCACTATAGCTCGTAGTGCTCCATCATGCACGTTGCTAATACTAATGTGTTGTATGCTCCACTATGGCTCATGACATCCTATGTGGTATAATTATTAATAAGGTGTTTGGAGCCGTTGATGCTTATGGCTACCATGACCTCGACTGCTTGGTTGCTTATTTTTTGTGTTCTAAACATCGTACTTCTTCACATGATCTTGAATTCTAACTATCTTTATATCCACACGTTCGTATTTAGGTCTATTACAACTTTCGTTCAGGACACAACACCTAAGCCAAACCACAAGACCTAAGCAACCAAACAACCGAGGTTGCGGTGGACATAATCATCAATAGATTCAAACACCTTATCAATGATGTAGCATATAGGATACATGAGAAAAACATAAAGAAACCGTTTATATGTATTAAATGTGTATATAAACAAGGACTTATTTTGCAACAAAAATACATTAAAGGGGTGTTTGGGATTGCTTGTGAACATTAAAAGTCATTTTTGTAGGACTTTTTGCAAAAAAAAAAAAAAAACTACTTAAAATGTGTTTGGATTAACAAAATAACTTTTGGTGTAACTTTTACATGTAAAGTCACAAAAAATCAGATTTTTATGACTTTTTGAAACTCTTCATTTTCCTCTATGCAAAAAGTAATTTTCAAAAGAACTTTTCTATTACTTAAACATCTTTTGGTTTTTTGAAAAAATTAAAAGTTAAAAATCATTCTAAAAGCAATACCAAACACTCCCTAAACACTAAATATGCAAAAGTATATTAAGGATAAAATGTGGACAAAGAGAGAAATATATTATCTTATGAAGTTATTTTTTCAATAAAAAAGACTAAATATGTATAGATAAACAAATTAAAGAAGTAAAAAAATAATCAGTAACAAAATATATAAAAAAATTATTTTAGCTTTTAAAAAAAAGTTATTATCCCTTTAAAAAAAGGTGAAGAATGTTCGTCGTTGGTTGCGACCATGGTGTTGGGGTAATAGAGACATGTCCTACGAGTTTTGGAGACGCAAACAACAAACAGGGGGATCAGGATTCTTTCCCCCTTCCTTCAGATGGTCGGAAAGAGGGTCCTCCTCTGAGATCATCCTGAAAAGGGTGGTTAAGAACGAGTCATACTTCTTAAATCCTTTTGTTTTCAAGGAAATTCTTCATTTATGTTTCTATCTTCTCATCTCAATCGTGCCACCAATCATCATCATCTTCTTCTCACATTCCTAGGTGTATTATATTTTCACCAACGTTTCCTTTGTTTAGTATATACATTGTACACGAGAGATAGAAATCAACTGAAAAAAACCAGACGATCGATATAAGCTTTGATTACCCTTCGTGCCCTCATTTCTGGTGCGATCGGAAACCCTAGGAAAATGAAAAACCCCCATTTGATCATTAACTTGAAGACGGCTACCAGTGATTTGTAGGAAAAAAAAGCTGGCGCATTCAGACAGGTGTGTGGTGGCAGAAACAGCGGCTGCCTCCACAATCACAACATATGGTTTTGAGTACAATGGGGGGTAGATGGACAACAAATGGAATCCAGTATTCTTATTTCCCGCTTTTGATTCTTGTTCTAGCTCATGTGTGTTCTTCCCTGAATCCCGAAGGTATGCTTATTTTTTACTTTTTAATCAGTTTAAGTATATCAAGGTATGTATTTCAACTGTTTGTATCATTTATCAACAAAAATGCAGGATTGGCATTGTTGGATTTTAAGGCAAGAGTATCTCGTGATCCATATGGAGCCTTTGCAAGTTGGAATGTGGATGACAATGATCCATGCTCATGGTCTTATGTTCAGTGTGTCTTTGGCAATGTGCATACTCTGTAAGTAAATGGAAGTATGTGTATTCAATGTTCTTCATTTGTGAAGTTACAAGCTACTTTTTCATCCAATATGATCATAAATCGTTGTTGATTTTATGAATTTGATCCACAAGACCACAAGATTTTCTTTATTTTGTGATTCTAAATTGGTTATTCTATAGACATTTGAATAACAATCGATTTTTGATGTAATTATGTCCTTTTCTTGAAGTGATCTCAAAGGGCTATCTTTGGAAGGAGTACTCACACCTGAGTTAGGGAATCTCACTCACTTGAGGCGTCTGTAAGTATCAAGTTCTAATTCTTACCCACTATTTTTTTTCTTCCAATTACGAAGGGGTATAAAAGACATTTGATTACAGATAAACGATTATGTTAGTATGTGTTTTGAATTTTTTAACAGAGAGAGAATTGATTTGATAAACTTCAAACATTTTCTAACTTTTTGTTTTTCCAGTGTTCTCTCACATAACCATTTTCATGGAGTTATTCCAAAAGAGATTGGCAAACTCAACATGTTGGAGGTACTGGATTTAAGGGATAATAAATTGATTGGAAATATTCCACCAGAGGTTGAAACAATGCAATCACTAAAATATCTGTAAGTGATATAATCCTATTCACTTTGTTCTTTATAGATTGCTATATTCCTACTTCGAAGACTCTGAATATATTTATTTATAAAAGTTCAAGAAGTTCTATGAAAATGTATACAGTTCCTTGTTAATGCTGACATTGAGAAACGAATACATTTGACTCAACATTCACATGTCTAACAATTGGATTATGGATTTTGAGCACACATTTCACTTCCCTTTTTACAAAATAAGGTTAAGTTCTGACTTTTAAGGTCAAATCTATTACTTTCAAGAATCAAAAATCACATGGATTTCATCACAAACTTAGCCACAAGATTTCTCTTAGTTTCTATTTCAAATCATTTTCAAAACGGGTCATCAAATATTACATGAAATTGTATACAATTCTTTATAATCTTGATGTAGAGAAAGGGAAAATGACCTAAAAGCCCAATAAAGTTTTCAAATAGTTCTAAAAACCCCAATATTGTTTTGGTTATTCAAGAAAAGCCAAGGAAGTAAACATTTTTCTAAAAAATCCAAACTAACTTAGGCTTCTCATTAAGGGTAACCGGCATCTGTGGGTTAAAACTCTTTGTTTACCTGCTAATGGAAGTGAACCACAAGAAAAGATGACATGGCTGATTATCGTTTATTACATGGAAATAAAAATCCCACTATCACAAAGACTTACCTTTCAGTGAAATCGGAACATATGCGATCTAGGGTTCTTACTGGGTGAAATCGTTGTGGCTGTGGCTTAAGGAAGGAGGTGAATGCGAAATTAAAATCGTTTTTACAGAAGGTGAAATCGTTTTCTACATATGGTGAAGGTGAAATTGTTTTTACAGAAGGTGAAACAGAGCTCAAAGAGTGTACAACAACCATGTCAAGAGATGGTGACTCCCTTACCATTGATGTCTACCACAAAGGTGTTTGTTCTTCCTAGTCAATTCATCGGATTTCTTTCTAAAAAGCATAACATCCTTTGCTGTCTTCAAATTGTAAAAATTCAAATCTTGAGCTTGCTTCTGGTACTTCTTCATTTATCCTAGTCTTGTTTTTTTGGTTCATCAGCATCAACCCATTTCCAGAAATAACAACTTTCGTATTTCGATCCTTCATGTTCAGAAAAAATTAACTCACATAACCAATAAATTATTACGAAATGGATATAAACAGTTTTCAAGAACAGGGACAAGTCATAAGCTTTTTTCCAGGATTAGCTTTGGTGGTTGATGTCCAAATTCGAGCACTGTACCCACAATTGCAATGCTTCCCATCATCAAGTGTCCTCTTTGATTTTGAAATGTTGGTGCTTGACTTGGTGATCACAGATTTAGAGGAAGAAGAAGAAGTCATGGGAGAAGGACAGAGCCGTTAAGGAGGAGATGTGTGCCCTAATTTGTTTTAGTAAAGATGGGTTAGATCGATGAACATATCCTACATGTCATGTTTTAAGCCAACAAAGCAATCCACATGTCAAAAAAACTGCCAAGTCATCTATTCAATTATTCCTCCGCTTGCCTTCAGGTTACCACACAGTTAGATAAGAAAAAAAGTGAAGTTAGATGCTATTTTTTGAACGAAATCTTACTTTGTTGGGTTCTCTTAAACAACCAAAACAATATTGGGGCTTTTTAAAAGATTTGAAAACTTCATTGGGCTTTTAGGTCATTTTCCCTGTAGAGAAATGAGTACATTTGACTCCATTTTTCAAGCATTCACATATATAACAATCAAATTATCGTTTTTTAGTACAAATTTCACTACCCTCTTGAAGAAAAATCACTTTCAAGAATTAAAATTGACATGGATTTTCTAAAAAACATAGCAACAAGAGTTCTTTTAATTTGCGATTGAGATATTTTCTAAAGTGGGTCATCAAATATTTTTCCAAAACATATCCATTTCTTTAAAATCTTAAATATTGAAAAATGAGTATATCTGACTCATTAAAAAACCTCCCACCAGGTTGCTTCATAACAACAATCTTGAAGGAAGCATTCCACATGAATTTGAGAGCCTGAATTTACTCTACAAGTTGCAATTTGATGATAATCTTACATTCAGTGTTACAGATGCAATTGGATTTCTAAACAGGAAACTTGGACGTTGGTAAGAATTTTCAAAAAAAAAAAAAAAAAAATTCAAATTTATTAAAATCTTTAATTATGATCCTTATTATTATTATTATTATTTTTAATTATGGTGACACATTATGACACAGCATATGGCAGGGTGGTTTTAACCATCTAAGGAATGCAGATTCTGTTATATCCCCATTCAAAGAAACTGTTATTAATTGCCTCAAACCATTTCAACTGTAAGAAAGAAGCATATAATTATATGCACTTTTAAAAAAAAAAAAAATTGAAATGTATAAATTCTTTTATTGGTTTTTATGCAGAAAAGTCACATTAACCCTTCTTTATCATGTTTCTTGTGTGTTTTCTCGAGTTTCAGATTCAGCAAGGGCATTTCAGACAATTCTTGTGTCAATGAAGAAAGTACGTGACTTTCTTTTCGACTTAATGGACTTGATATAAATCGGATACATATATTTATATAGAAATGTTTCTTTTTTGACTTAATATAAAAAGACTCTAATTAAAAGAAAAGTGAGGATATGGAGGCTTTATACATTCAGACATCTTTCTACCTCTTTGCCCTTATTTTATTTCCTATCCAGACACAAGGGTAAAATGGTGATTTACTCATTATGTAAATTATCAGGTCCACTAACGCCCAAAATAGTTGAAAACACAAAAATTGATGGATGCATAACAAGTCGAAAGCTAATAGAAGAACCTACAAATGTAGCATCCGAATCTTCATATAATGATGATGACATGTCAGCACGAGGTGGCATCATAGGAGTTGTTCCTAGTACCAAAAGCAGCGGATGTTTCTGGAAAATAACAAAAAGATTTGATGATACTCCATCTTCATCATCCGAAACATCTGATGATGATGAAGAGTCAACGGAAAGTCAAACTAATTCAGACATGTGGAAGATCTTGATAGGAATGTGTTGTGGATCTTTTCTTCTAATCACTTCCATGACACTATCATTCATGTGTCATAATAAAGCTGTCAAAACCATGGGCCCGTGGAGGCCCGGGCTTAGTAGACAACTGCAAAAAGCATTTGTTACGGGTAAATAATATTATGACTTACTATTATTATTATTATTAATTAAAATAAAAAAAGTTGCTGTAAAAAGGTTATTCTTACAGTAACCTGTCAGCTGGTCCACACTGTCCTGTCAGCTGGCCCACATCATCATGTGTGAGATATGAATCAAGTACATAGTGGCCCACACTCTACATGATTAATTTTGCTTTTTGTATCAAATACTTAGTATTTATTGAGTGCTATAATGATTTTTTGTTCTCTACATTTAATCCCCTACATTCAATAATATAGATTTTTATGAAGAAAAGTCCCATTATTTAGAGAATTTTTTTGATAAAGTTTTAATTTTTTTTTTGAACAGAAAAGTCCCGATTATTTAACATTTTGCACAAATTAACGATTTCTTTTTCTAGTTTTAACAGGAAATGATAGATTATGTGATTTTTCCAAAAGAATTGGACTTTTTTGTTGTTCGAAACAAAAAAAAAATTAAAACTTCATCAAAAAAATTCTCTAAATAACGGGACTTTTCTACGTAAAACCCTTCAATAATATTTCATTATACCCCTGTAATTGTATTCGAATTCCAAAATCATTATTCTTTTTTCACTAATTAATCTAATTTTTTAAACATCAGATAATATTTCATTTTGTTTCCCAATATAAAATAATAAAATGCATAACAGTTATGTTATATTTTCATCGTTTTATTCTAATTTTTATAACATATGTAATGATTTTCACTTTTTTTGAAACTTATTTAGTTATTTTCATCGATTATACAATATCAGATAATTTCCTTTTCATTTTAATCCAAAAAATATTAAATACAAATATGATCTGTTCTTAAAAAGAAATAAAATTTAACAAGCGGGCTTCACAAAACATTATAGATACACAACGATAAATTAGTTAATTTTACCAATAAAAAAAAAAAAAAGCTTCTAAAAAGGGTTTATTATAATTGGTTTTTGTTAAACTAAGTTAACCAGAAAGATGACATGGCAAATATAATCAGTCATGGATACTCTAAGAACGACTTTTGTTTGTTATTGTCCTTCAAATTACTATTTTTGGATCTTTATTAAACACCATTATCATTTATTAGTGGAATTAAGGTATTAATTATCCTCTTAATCATGATTTAACAACACAGGTGTTCAAAAACTAGATCATTCAGAACTAGAAACAGCATGTGAGGATTTTAGCAACATCATTGAAACAATGGAAGGTTGTACTTTATATAAAGGAACATTATCAAGTGGAGTTGAGATTTGTGTCGCTTCAACTACCATTACAAGACTCAAAGATTGGTCAAAACATGCACAGCTATTGTTCCACAACAAGGTTTTTTTTTTCAAACATATTTTATATATCTTTAATCACTAAATAACTAAAATTTTGTTATAGATTGAGATGCTTTCACGCGTGAACCACAAAAACTTTGTTAATCTTATTGGTTATTGTGAGGAGGACAAACCTTTTGTTAGAATGATGGTGTTTGAGTATGCTCCAAGTGGCTCACTCTCAGAGCATCTACATGGTAATTCTATGAGTAAATGACCATTTTACCCTTCTGTTCAAAGTCATGTCTCCATTAAGTTGTTCTTTGTTCTAATTACAGTTCAAGAACTTGAAATAAGTTTTGTATACAAAAAAGTCCGTTTCTTTTTTGGACTCGATGAACTGTCTGAATGTGAGTAAATGACCATTTTACCCTTATGTTTAAAATACAGTTCAAGAAGCTGAGCATCTAGACTGGAGTGCAAGGATGAGAATAATACTAGGAGTAGCATATTGTCTCCAATGCATGCATGACTTAAGTCCTCCAGTGGTGCACATGGATCTGAATTCAGAAATGATCTATCTAACCGATGATAATGCTGCTAAAGTAAGCTTCTGTGCAAAAAGACGTAAACGCCCTTCTCATCCTTTATAAATATACACCTGGTGTTGAGAAGTTTTTCTGATCTCCCAGGTTGCAGACTTGAGTTTCTGGAAAGAGTTTTCCCAGAAAGAAAAGATATCAGGGGCAAATAAGTCAAAGTGTGTTGTGATGCCTGATAAGGAGTCAAACATATACAGTTTTGGTGTTTTATTGCTTGAAATTATATCTGGGAAACATCCTTCTTCAGACAAAGAAGAACCTCTTGTAGTAAGTTCATTAAACTACTATATCTCATATCAAAGGTTTATAGAGAAAATCACAAAAAGTATCTCTTTTAATTTTTATATCATTGGTAAACAAGTACTAACTCTAATTTTGCTATTTTCACAGGTGGAAGAGTTTTTGAAGGAGAATAAAAACATTAGTCATATGATTGATCCAACCTTAAAGTCATTCAAGCAAAAAGAACTTGATGTTGTTTGTGAAGTTATTCAAGAATGCATTGAAAAAGATGGAAGTGAGAAACCAACGATAAATAAAATAATTCGAAAACTTAGGGACGAAAGTGGTATTTCACCAGAGCAAGCAATCCCTAGAATGTCTCCCCTTTGGTGGGCTGAACTTGAGATCTTATCTGAAGATGAAACATAAAAAAAAGGAATAACAAAATTTAACATTAAAGATACATGGAAAAAGGATACATTTTCTCATTGTTAACTTGTACATACATGCGATAGTTTTTGTTGGATTTTCTTTGATTTATTCTTGACACTTGATATATATATATATATATATATATATATATATATATATATATATATATATATATATATATATATATATATATATATATATATATATATATATATATATATATAGGTTGTATGTATATCATTTAATCAAAATGAGGTGTCGAGATTTATGGGATTGGGTTTTTTTGACCGAAGGAGTTGAATTGTATAGTGTTTGAAAGTGTAAAAAGATAATGTAATGATTATTATTGGGTTTTCAACTTTATTTCATCTTGGTAGCTCATAAGCTAATTCATGCACCAAGATAAGTTGAAAATTGGGGTTTTTACAATGCTGTTAAATTGAGTTTTGACAACTTACTGGTGCTATTTTGGTAAATTCATATATTTTTGGGTGAATTTTTTTTTTTTTTTTTTAATGAATCTAGCGACATTGGAAATATGTGAATGTCTAGTTTACTTCATATTTGTTCCTCGTAATCTAATTCATGAAACAAGAGAGGTTAAAATTGAGGTTTTTATAGTGAGATCAAATTGAGTTTTGACGTGTTACTGTTGCTATTTTGTAAAATCTCTCGTAACTTTTTTTTTTTTTTTTTTGGTGATTCATGTCGCTTTAAAATGGAGGAGCATGAAAAAATGAGGTAAAACAAGAAAGGGCCAAGGGTCAAGATGTATAACGAAATCATAAAGTTCAAGGAAATAACCCACCTACCAGGCAATTTTGATTTTATATGATTTTTAATATTCTAGTCGAATATTGATATATTAGTAAATAGCTATACCTAATTTTACCTTTTAATTTACTAGCTATACCCAGACAGTGTACCCCGTTCAAATAGTTTAGCACAAAAGTCGGGTATCGATCACAGGTAACGATATTAATTAATTAACATACTTACTATTCAATTAATCTAAAATTCTAACAAAGATAAAGAGGGGTTTATCTAATTTTGCAAGTTTAGATAAACTTAATTTCTTAACACAATTCAATCAAATAACAAAAACACTTCTGTTAGTTCGAATCCACATTCGCTCAATGGTTTAATTATTAATTATGACAATTCATGTTGGTTACCAATGAAAATATTATTAGCAATTCAATTACAAAGTTACTAATATTAAACTAATTCATGTAGAGCTATGTATGGTCATACATAATTTAACACATGATCCTTTATTAGATAGAATTGGAGCTATGTGAAATTGAGTTGACAAACACAATTATGGTCATAATATGAGTTCTTTAGCACAACCAAATTCAATAATTTAATTACTTATCTAAGATTGGTTCGATCTTAGCTCTAATAATCTAATGTTCACTAAATTACTAGGTAATCAAATTCATACAAATTTATGGTCTCACTAACTACACAAAATAAGAGTTTAGAGTAATCTAGTATCAAATTAAGCATGTTAGGTATAAACAATCAAACACAATACATTAACCAACAAGAAAAGTCTAAATCTATATATTCAAACCATGAGTTCCAGCTTCATCTAGCTAACAGAAGCAACTAGATTTAGCTACTCATACTAACAATTGAACTAAAACAAGTCATAATAAAAAACATAGTAAAGCACCAAACTAGAAAGTAAATTATGATATTTTCCTTCTTCCTTGGTATTAAAACCAATTTCCTAGCCTTCTAAACCCCCGAGTTCGACTTTTGTAAATATTCTTCTAGCCAGCTAACCCCCTAAAATTCGTAGGGATCAAGGATATTTATAGTTTCAGATTTCACCCTCTTCACGTCGTGAGCATAGGAGCCTCACGTCGCGAATGCAATACTAATCTGTATCGAACACGTATTCTTTCATCCGGATGATTGTTTTCTAGAATATCCATACTCACATCGTGAACCTTTACTCCCTATATCGTGAGGACGTGTTTTGCTGGATTTTTCATCTTTTAAGCTTTTAACCTCTAAAGTTCCAATCTTTGATGCTTTCAGTCCTTTTTCTCCAAGATGTCTTCTTTTGGCTGCAAAATATAATTTAACCTTATAAGTACAACTTATCTATGCAAATAACTAAAATATTAATCAAAATGTAATTAAATATTGCCTAAAAAATATGTATAAATCTGACAATATCAAATACCCCACACTTATTCTTTGCTTGCCTTCAAGCAAATTTAATTATTTTTAAATTGAAACATTCATCACTAGCATCACACAGAACAATCCATTTAGAACTCAACCATTACACAAATACCTCAATGCGCATATTTGTGTCTAAATCCCTAATAACCCCCCAATCATAAATACTCACAATCCTTATGAACCGTCACCCCTTTGTTTATACAACACTCATTTCTGCAACCCTCCGAATCAATCCTTAGAAATCTTTCTTAACTTCAAGGTATTTTTGTTAAGCTACCAAAGCATACATAATCCAGAAATTACAACTTTTGATACCACATTGGAGCTCTTGGAATTCTTCACTTCTTTGATATTTGATATTTGATTTCTTTGAATTCACCACCTTTTTGTTTGATTTTTGGTATCTTCAACTTTTTGAATTTTTTCAGAATTTTTGATCTTTTGATCTTCATAATTTGATAGCTCCAAAAATTCTTTTACTTTTTGGTAAATTGTCTCTCTTTTTTCTTCTTTTTTATACATATCTCACTTTTTCCGCTCAAAACCTACATGCTTAAGTAAAGATGCTTAACTTCAACCCTTATTGCTTAATGTATTAGTCTAAGTGCAATGGCTACATAAGCTCTCCTGGATAGATTTCAGGTTTAGGATGCAAAACATATTATGCCATATAAACTACCAGATTACCTTTCATATCTCATGGCTTTTTACTAAGAATGGGAAGCCACAAATAACTATAACATATGTTGACTCAGCTAAACATGTGAGCTTGCATTGGATCATCCCACATAACACTAGCAACTTAAGTTCAAACTATTATTAGATTTAATTTTTTTTTTATTTTTTCTTAAATTTTTCAAAATTTTAATTTTTTTTTATAAATTTCTAGTAATTTTACTTTTTCAACCCCTACCCCACACTTATTACATACAATACCCTCAATGTATGCATACAAATAAATTAAAAGCAAAATAAAAGGGAGAAAAAGGAATAGACTCCTCTGGGATAGTAATGGTATGATCGAACTCTAAATGTGTGGATAACTTGTGCATCTTGATTATGAACTTCTTCTAATATGGAACTTGGATTATGTAAGCAAGATAGTAGAATGTGGATGAAGTTGCCGAAATCGAGTGTGGGGGACCAAGTGTGCGGGTTCACTTCGTGAGAATTGAAAAAGTGGTAGTCAAATGTTCTAATGGTTTCTTTAATTTGTGGTCTCATGAACTTTATAGATCACGTCGTGAATCCTGTCTGGGCTGAATAAATGGGGGCCAATTAAAAATACCATGAGGTGGTGTCGATGCTTTTCATAAAATTGTCCATTTTCTTATAAAAACTTTAATTTATTTTACCACTTAGTTTTTAAGGACCCCACACTTAATTTTTAAAATAATTAAGATGAGGAGGTGACTAATTATCCTAAAAACCAACTAAAAATGCAAAAACTAGATTAAATGCAAAAACGAAAAGAAATTCCAAACCAGACTCATGTTTCCTCCCGTGAAGTGCTTCTTTTTGTGGATTCATGAGCCGAACTCTGTGCCGCTTCACGTTGAATCTTTGTCGGAGTGTCGATCAACAATTTCACCTTTTGCTCTTTCCATCTTTTGTATGCTTGAACTCGTCTAATGTATGCATTTTTAGAGTTTTCTTGTTTAATTTTCACCTTATTTTCTTCAAGCTTTCTTTTAATCTATTTATTCTCCTGAAGTTTATTTTCCACTTTTTCCTCATTCTCTAGCTCTACGGAAACCATCTTTTCATCCAAAGTTAGCATCTTTTTTTTGGAAGTAACACCGTCTTCATCACTTGATACGCCTTCACTTTCCTCACTCACCCAAGAAGTTGGATTTTTATAAGCAATCACTTCGAAAACAAGTGGAACATATGCTTTTGGTTTTTTTTTTTTTTTTTTTTTTTTTTTTTTTTTTTTTTTTTTTTTTTTTTTTTAACTTATTGAATCGTCTTAATTTCTTCTTCCATTAGTTTCTCCAATTCTTCAAGATCATCTTCTTCATCAATGTTGAATACTTCACCTTGAACATGATTCCCTTGGAAACCATCTTCTATTCCAAAAGTAGCTTTTTCATCTCCAACTCTCAAAGTTAGCTTGGAATCTTGAATGTCAACCAAGGCTCAAGTAGTATTAGTAAAGGGCGACCAAGAATAATAGGGACATTGTTGTCTTCTTTCATGTCCATCACGACAAAGTCAATTGGAAAGAAAATTTCCCAACTCTCACCAAAATATCTTCAACAATGCCTCTAGGATATGTCACCGAACGGTTAGCCATGTGAATTGTCATTCTTGTAGCCTTCATATTCAGAATATTAAGCTTTTGATAAAACGAGAAAGACATTAGATTTATGCTAGCCCCAGAATCAGTTAAGGCAAAAGTGTTTGTATTATTTCTAAATTCACATGGAAGAGTGAGGCGTCCAGGATCTCCCATCTTATTTGGTAACTCCCCCAAATACAACCTTAGAACTTTGCTCACTAAGAATCACCTTGGACTTTTTCTTTAATTGTTGCCGATTATTTATTAAGTCTTGTAAGAACTTTGCATAATCAGGAACTTTAGACAACGACTCAATGAAAGGAGTATTTATTGGAATACCCTTCACTTGCTTCCTAAATTTCAAGTGCTCTTGTTCCAGTGGATGGATATTTTCTTGGGATAGAAATGGTAAAGGAGGACGATAAGTTTGCACATTGGCTAAATTTTATGTTCAGACCCAGCCCACGTCGTGAGATATGTAGGCTCACATCGTGAGCTCGATGTTTCAACAAAATTTGTCTCATCGAGTGTTGACTTTTTCTCCCTTGGTCCGGACTACTGTGGCTCCACTTCTAAAACTTCTAGGAATGCAGAAATAGCCTTTTCTTCAGTTTCAATCACCATGACATGCGATTGAATCTTTTTATCGGGAAATTATGGAGATAATCGTTCATTTACCAAAGTCGTTAGTTGACCAAGTTGGGCTTCGAGATTTTGAATCGATGCTTGGTGATTTCTTAACAATGTCTGCTGGTCAATCATCATAGCCTGCTGATCTTTCATCATTATTTG